GCTCTCCAGATCTAAACCCAATTGAGAATGTTTGGGGATGGATGGCAAAGGATGTTTATAAATATGAATCACAATTTGAAACTGTGGATGCTCTTCATGCTGCAGTTTATGCATTCTGGTCGAGCATCCCAAGCACCCTCATGCAGAAGTTAATAAAAAGTATGCTAAGGCGAATGTTCGAAGTAATTCGCAGAATTGGAGGATACACTGAATATTAAATTGTTGTTGTGACTTATTTGTTCTATATTTTCTATTTTTATTTACATGGTCTTACTTTATGACAAACCAAAAAAAAAAAAATACTTTTTCAATGTTTGTTTAAATTAATCAATTAAAAGCTTAAAATTTTCACTTTGATAAGCTACATTTCCTAATTAAATGTAAATGTTTTGCAAATATATTTTGTAAAGTAACAGTATTTTATATATTTTTTAACCCTTTTGTATCTGGTCTTAAGATTTTGACTAGGAGTGTATATATATATATATATTTTACATGCACATAAACATAAAAACAATTATTAATTTTTTATTAAAAACCAACAAGATAGATTTTTATCTACAGTGACAGACAATTTTAATAAAGGTCATTTGCTTGAATTCTTGCTAAGTAGATGTTTCACATACACACACTGAAAATTTCTTGGCCCAACCCATTCTCAAAATCTGACAAAACATCAATTTTTTTGTTCTGAAAAGTGAACACCAAAGTTACCAGCCAAAAAAGTAGTTTACAATGTATCTAATTTTTAAAAATGGGAAAATTTGTACATGTTTAACACACACACGCTTATCAGATTATTTCTAAGGACTGAAGATTTTATTCCAAATTGTGAAAATTAAAAAAGAAAACATGAACAATTTTGTTATATTTAAATTCTTATTCTTATCCTCAAAACAATGATATAAAATGTCGAGTTGAAGCTGAAAGGAATGAATATCAAAATATTTATTAAATAAACACTTTATTGTCGGCAACTTAATTATATGCCAGTACATTTTTAAGATATTTTCATTTCTCTCTTCATAATTGTGTGTGCGCGTGTAATATAGATAAGTAACATGCCTTCTTCTAATTTACAGCATACAAGCATATATATTCAGATATGTATTTTTCAGTTCAGTTGAATGCTCATTAATTGACAATGAAATTCAAAAATACACAAAATAAAAAATTCTATGAGAAAATTCTTATGAAAGGAAAATGCTTCAAGAATTTCTCACTTGATTTGATGGAGAAAAGTTGCCCAAAATCTTTCTTCTTTTATGTTTGAATGCACTTTAAAATTTTTTAACGTTACTGATTTTTTAAAGGCAAAACAAAATTTCTAAAAATATATGAATTTTCTCAAAACATAAAATAGAGAAAAATAACTTTAATGCAGTATTGTTTATATTAAAAAAAAAAGAAGAAAAAAAGCATTTCTGTAGAAGTTAAATATTATAAACCCTGTAACCTAAATCTACTTTGGGTAAGCAGTAACATGTGCTTCTTAATAGAACTTTTCAAGCTGTTTGCTTGCATTACAACCTACTTGTATTTTTAATAATTGTTTACTAAAACTTTGGGGAAAACATCAATACTGTCAATAGCTTTAAATTAGGTACCTCCACTTTTTCACTGAAAAAAAAAAAAAAAAAACAGCATAACATGATGAAAAAAGGTCCCAAACTTAATAAAAAACAAAGTTTTATCATCAAAAAGTTTATGTTATTATTAAGAGAAAAGACCAAAGTATTTTTATGATTTTATTAAATTTTTTAATCCTCTCTAACACATCCAAAATTTTGCTAAAAATCTTGTTTTTTTGTGTCAGTGGTTGATGTAATATTAGTTTAGTGTTTTAGCACCTTTTTATATAGTGAAAAACACATTGATTTGGAAATTCTTGCAAAAATCAAATAATTGTTGGATTTTAATGAAAGTGTCAGGACTTAATTACAAATTATTTTTGAATTTTTTTTTTTTTTTTTAGAAAATCTTGGTAAAAATATATTTTTTTTTTGTATATGTTACCCTCCTCCATTTAATTTCATGAAATTTTGATAAATTAAATTTTCATCTGAAAATTTAATTTTAATCGAGTTTTTTTTTTTAAACTACTCATTTCCTGAAAATCTGCTCTGAATCATAAAATAAAAAATGAAATAAAACTACAACATTATTTAATTGGAAAAGCTTTTAATTGCTTTTATAAATAAGATATTTATTATTGCCTTAAGAAAAAATTTTTTTTGATAAATAATGAATTTTTACAAGAATTGATTTCATTTTTTAAAAATTGTCATTATAATAATTTATAATTTTTAAATCTTAAAATTCTGCATCACATTCATCAAGTTAGGTGATATTGTTATTAAGTAAAAACTATATTTACTAATCAAAAATTGAAAAGCTTATTAAAAATCATTTTGCACCAAGATTTTTAAAACAATTTTTGATTTTTTTTATGTATGTAAAATATTATGTAACGTTTTCTTTTTTTTGAAAGTATGGTCAACCATACACAACATCATCAGAAAACTGTAGTAAATTTAAAGTCAATATTCCTACAATTAGATTATGGAGAATATTTTCCAATATTTTTAAGATTGCTGAGTATGTAAAATTTATATAAAAAACAAAAGGTGCTCATGTCATTTTCTTAAATTATGTTTTACAGATAAAGTCTCTGTAGAACAACAATCATTACAACATAAACTGTGAACACCTCATCAATTACATAAAACATTGGTTACATAACATAGCTACTATTTTGTTTTAAAAATATATTCCTGTGTTATTTTAAACTTAAAGTAAATAAGATTTTTTTCAAACCAGATTAATTATACTTTAAATCAGCCAATATTCCTCAAATAAAGTTTCAGAAAAGTATATTTTATTTTTGGAACATTTTTTAATACAGAGAATTACATTGCGATAAAAGATGACTAAAAAGGGCGCTAATCACCTATTTTAGAAAAAAAAAAACGATTCCAATCAATATAATTTGATTGAAATACACTAGAGTATTTTGCCTACTGGAAATAGTAAATTTAATCTTTTATCTTTCAATTAAAGCTAAAATGAAAGTTTCAAGAAAGCTTTTTTCATTTATAAAATTCATTTTAAACCATAGGTATCAAAAATTAGTGAAGGTACCTACTTTAAAAATTCTTGTTAATATTTTAACAAGCAAAAACTACTGCATGAATAACATTAATAAAAATTAAAAACAAAGTCTAGTCTGTTTTTTTTCTTTTTATAAAACATAGCACTGAAAGTTGTACACCAAAAGATTTTTGACAGATTTATTAACAAAGAGTAATCAACTTAATCTCTTGTAATTGTAATTTTGATTTATTTAAATATCTGCATGTAGCAAAAAAGGAAAAATGAAACTAAGTTTGAAAAAAAATATATAAATTAACATTTAAAAATAAAAAAAATAAACTCTTATTTTTATATTTCTCAATATCCTCCCTATTTGGATTTGTTTACTTTAAAGTATAATTTTCAGTTTAATTGTAACTTAAATTTTTTTAAAAAGCTATATTCATTAATTTTTCTATATAGACTTTTTGGGCTAGGTATAATAGATTTTTCCATTTATTTTTAAAGATCATTTAAATTTTAACTATATTGAAAGTTTTCTTTTACTATACTTATAACAAGGAAGACAAAATCTAATAAAAGTTAATGATAACGTATATTACAGTTATCTGATTTCTCTTTGTAGGTCGGTTAATGTAAAACAGCCAAAATGGTTTAATGCAGTATTGAGATTTTTATTAGAGCAATACCATTAAAATGTTGTAACTTGCAAATGAAAACAATTTCTAGTCCAGTTTGCAAATTAATAGTGTGGGGTCAGTATTTTTGTTAATAATAATGATCTGATTTTTGTTTACGTGCTTATTAAACAAGATGAAAAATATATCAACATTAAAAAAGACAAAATAAATGAAAAGATTACTAATTGCTCCATAAAAAAATGACAATTTTATTCTGTAAAAAAAGAAAAAGAAATCATATAGAAATAAAATTCTTTTTACAAAATAAACATATAATTTTATGGGCATCATTATTATATTATTCTTTTTCTCTTCCATTAAACAATTTTTTCTAAACTGTAAGCATGTATGATCAAAAGTCAATTAAAAGTTGGATCCTGCTTATTAGGGCTTAGCACAAGTTAACTTTATGTTTGAGATGAAAAAGCAGTTTGGTTAATTACTAAGTAATTTCCCTCATTTATTTGCCAATAATTATAATATAAATTCTACAAATAGGAATTGACTTAACATTGAGGTTAAATGACACCTTCAATAGCCTTTAAGTGAGTCTTATATCTGTAATGTCAAATGTCTTTGTTATATATTTATATAACTTACCTCTTTCACAAACATTTCAGTTACTTTAATTGCTTTCCCCAAACAATGTTGCATTCATGTTGAATGTTCATGCTGAATTTTCATGGTTCATTTGCATTAGGAATAAAGAAAATGAGACAAATGTCAATTATTAGTCAAATTTGAATGAAACACTAGCTTTTATATAATGATCATATAGTACCTATCAAGAAAATTTTTGTTCTCTAATTACTGATCCGAGGATTTTAAAATTATTATATTTAAAACTTATTCATGTATTTGCTTATTCCTTTCAGTTAAGTGTCATACATGAAACACGCTTGAACGATCACGTCTCTTTTTATTCATCACTGATTAGGCAGAAGATTTTCCCGCAGTAGTTTGCCATTTGTTTTTGCAGCTTGTTTCCTTGAGAAGGTTATAAATGTTATTAGTTTTAAAATTTGCAATATGTGGCATATTATGATACACTTACCATTTTAAGAAATATTTGACACCAAAAATAGAAGGCACAATTCCGTTTATAGGAACTTTAGCCAGATTTCCAAGTTTGCAAAGTTTTTAAAACAAAAAAAAATTTTCAGAAAATTTTAGATGATTATTGAGTGACAAAAGAGCACAGTCAATTGTAAAACCAGACTCGTTGCTTTAAAAGTCTTCAATACAATTGCATTGGTTCCTGCAACAAAAGAAAATAATTATTATATGATTACAATGACAAAGCAGTTGAAGTATTTGAAAGTAATCAATATTAATAACTACAAATCTATTGTTGATTTTGTGAATATATCAGTTTTTATTCATACCATCTTTAAAATATAACTCACATTGCTTATTTATTAGAATATCTGATTGACCAAATAATTTTAAAGCAAAAAGTAAAAGTAATTCTGAAAAACATTCTAAATATCTGATAAATAAGTTTAATTAACATATTGTTATACCAGAACGTACCTATTCTATTGTAAATAGACTCTCCCACAGATAAGTAGTAGTAACAGTCGCCAGTGGAGCTCAGAGTGAGTTGTGTGAATCAGTCGATGTTGGACATTAAAGTATGAGCCCCACAACTAGATTGCTGCGTCATTAACTATTATTGCAAGTTCCTAATGTTTTGTATGTCGAACCTAATTTAGGACCGACTTAGTGAAATACAAGCCTCTACTGTGAAAACTACTCTACAACACATATTTAACAAATTCTAAGGATGCTGGTAACTTTTTAGAAGGAAGTTTCTAATGCAATTTTATTCATACCTTTTTTCATCATTATTCAATATGTCCCTTTTTAAATTAATGGAATGCTGAAAAGTTCTTGGACTGACTAAGTAGGATTTTTTAAAAATTCTGATGCCTGGTCATTTAGTTAGGTTTTTGGAGGTGATTCAATCCAGTAACTTTTCAGTACCCTTTCACATTTAATATTTCTATCTACCAGGTTAGAGTAATAATAAATATAATATGCTCAGCTCTAGTGTGATGGAGGATATCACTACAGGTAGCATCTTTTTCATTGCAGTTAAAGAAACAGGGCCAAGAGTCAATCCATGATGCATTAAGGAAATGGCAATGGAGTTTGAAAAATGTTGCTTCTACTCCCACATAGAAGGGTTGTGGGGAGGTGTGTTACATTAAATTGACTGTGTTCAATTTACTCTTATATGGAGTTGGATAAATAAAACTTTTGAAACTATCATTCCATTTATCCACATCTGTGTATTTGAATGAGAAATATAGATTACTTTCAGTAATAACATTGAGAATATGAATCATTATTAAAAATAAAATCAACCATACTTGTTTGTTAATTATATTTTTTAAAAATAATTTAAATCTCACTGACCTGCAATTTACTGAAGTTGTGTAACAGTGAAGGCATTGGAACTGCTGAATTCTAAAAAGAATGGTCCTTCTTTTTCTGGGTGAAATGTGCAAGGCGTCAGATTATAAATGCCACCAGAGATGTTGTCAAGTTGTAGGACACAATACCCTGCTCTATTTTAAAATACAAAATAAACATTAGCAGCTGAACCAAAATTATGATAAATAAATTTAAAACTTTTTTTTTTTTTTACATTAATAATCTTTTCAAGGTTGGAGATAGTTTAAGTGAGTGGTCATGTTGAAACACACAAACCATTCTTAGTTTCTATACAATAATACTGTTTTAAAGTTTGTTTCTTTTTTTTCACTTCTATTTGCCTAATTAGTAAACTTTGTTTCCAACCCAATAAAATGGTCAGAATTCTCCTATAAAATAAAAAATTCTCAATGAAATATAATTAATAGAACATAAAAAATGGAATTAAATGAACAAATGTTGAAGCAGGAACCTCAAGATTTTAAATTTAATCTCCTAAATATCAGTTAAATAATTTTGCTATAATTTGGAGATGAGTTAAAATTTTTTTAAATTCTATTGTATACAGAAAAAAAATCAAAGATAATTCTCATAAAACAATTTCAACATGAAATAAAATACAAACCGGAAATCTCCAGATGATTTTCTTTGAAATGAAGTAGGAGCATTTGGAACATTCTCTGAAACAGTAATCACTTCAAATCCCACAGCATATTGCCTGATAAATAAAAATAAATTCTTTGTGAATGGTTATTCAAATCTTTACTTTTAATGCTAATTTGAACTCAACAATGTTAAATAATTGCATTCTATGTATATTTCACATACATAGATATCAGTATGCATTGGTTTCTATTCTCTTATTCACTTGTCAAGAGTTAAGAAATTGCATTTTTGTTCAATAGAGATCCAAAAAGCACTTTCCAGCAGTAAACAAAATTGCTCAACTCTGCAAATAGATAATCACAATATGCTAGTAACAAGAACTCTGACATGAATATGCTAATAAATAAAATTCAGCTTTATATAAAAACTAGCTGAATTACCAGTGCCTTGCTGCATGTCACACAATTTTTTGTAAGAAAATGATTGATTTTAAATCATTGTTATAATTTGTGGAGAAAAATGATGCATTTCAATATTACTCAATGATCTTGCTAATGTGACCTCCATCTTCTGGCTTTCTCTTATATTTTGGAGTCATTTCCTTGTTCAAATTTAAATTTAATTTAAATCAAGGGAAAAATTTTTCAGTGGGTTGTTTCTGCCAAAAAAGCTTAATCAATTTAAAAGTCAATTTAATGTAACACATCTCTCCACAACACTTTGATATGTATTTGATGCAATACTTGATTGAATGAACTGATGAGCAGATTTCAACATTGATATGACAGTTAAACTGAATTATCATAAATTTTATTATTCAATCACATCATTTCTTGTTATATACACATATTAGCAGTGAATGTTCTAGTTTACAACATGTATACTCCAATGTCTTTGCTTTTGTAAGCAATTAACAGGGAATGCAGATGCTATAAAAGTAAGCTGTGAAACTGGTAATTGCAAGTAATCTTTTGCATGTATATTTACTAAACACAACATCAAAAACTTCATTGTAGATGAACAATATACTTAATCTTCATTTTTCTTTAGGATATCTCAAAGTAGTGGATATACATTATATTTAGTCAAGAATACGTCATACAAAACATTAACTATCTACAATTTAATTGAATCCAATGACAAGGATTATTTCCACAGTGAAATTAACTCTTTTACATGAGCTTTTGTAGTTTATGTTGAAATATCATTTCTCATGCTAAAATTGTATAGAAGTGAGTTGAATTAATATCATATATTTAAATTCTGTTCTTGTCTTGAAACTTACTTGGGACCCAGAAGTTCAATCAGTAAATGATTTGATGTGCTGTTGTTATCAATTTTTATCTGATAGATTGGGTTGAATTTATGTGTTTCAGGGTAGTTGCTACAACCACCAGCAGATCTTCCTTTCCAGTGACCTGTGATCTGTAGAATAATTGTTTTAAAATAAAATGAAAATATCATTTAAGTATTTAAATACTTTCATTGTATTAAATATGAACACAAATTTTCACAAAATCTAGTAAATTAACTTACATCGAAAATAAAGGTTTGATCACATGGGTAAATACCTCTGCATATATATATGTGCATGTGTGACACTGAGGCGTTGAAGTGGTTAAACATTAATTCTAAAGCCAGAAGAGAGAAGAATTAACCCAAAATGAAATATAGGATGGAAGATAGAGAGTGGAGACCTTTTCCTCCTCAGTGAGAATGGGACATCTGGATTTCTTCTAAAAGTTTATTTTTCTTATTTTCTTATTTATCAAGAGTCTGGCAGGTGGTTATAAACAGATTTGGGAAATAAGTTTATAACTTCCTGGAAAATTTTGAAAAACATATTATTAATGGAAAGAAAAACAGAGGAGAGTCCTATTTTTTGTTGACAAAAATGAAAACAAGGAACAAACCCTTTCTTTTAGGATTGAAGATATGAAAATCAATCATGTCATGCAAAGAAGGTGATCTGATTTGAGTTTTCGCTGAGGTGCCAACCAGCCCAGGGACAGAAAGCAGAGTCTCTCTTCGTTGAGAATTTAGATAAATAAATAGGTTTTCATTGATGAAAATAGATTTGGAACATAATTTTTATCTGTAACTCAGGTTAAAATGAGAACAAATTTCTCTTAACAAGTTGGATACACTGTATGATTAAGGCTGGAGTTATGAAAACAAATTCTGTCATCAGTCATCTGCTTTGTATTTTTGCTGGACAGAGATTTCCAGGAAAACAGAAAAGATTTGAACAATTAAAATTAATGGCTGGAATGGAACCCTGCTCTCCCACCTACATGTTTTAAAAATTAGATTTGTCACAAAGATTGTTATGCATGCTCTGGAAAGTAGGCTGAGGTCAAATGCTGGGAAAGGAGGAGGAAAGGGCAGAATTTTGCCCCACTTGTGTGAAGTAGCAGTGCAAGTTGTGAAGTAAAGAAGGTTGGAGTTAAGGGAGAAGCAATTTCCATATTTATTCTTATAAAAGGTGGATAATTCTCCAAATTTGTAAAATTCATTAAGAAAGCAGAAATAGGGAACAGAGAAAACCTTTATTTGAATTAATGAAAACTGAGGAATCACCAAATTCCCAGAACCCTTTGGCTCCACAACAGATTTGGGCCAAAGTGCATATAAACAGATGACTTTGGGGAAATGATAGACTGAGATCCCATATTGAGTACCTTTGAAATCCATGCCAGCTGACAGCCAGAATTCCTGATTCCAAGATTTTGAACCCAGCCTTCCAGAAGTTTAGACAAAGCCCGGTGTCACTAGAGAGCTTGATGCAGGAAGAGTTAATTTTTGTTGTACCAAGAGCTATATAAACCAATTGAAGATTAACCCCACAAGTCTCATTTTATTTTTTTGTCAGGAAGATACTTTTTTTCCTTAATATAGCACCCATCATGGCTTGACTAGTGGTGCAAGACTTTGAACTTTGATCTTCTACTGCTCTGAGATCAAGAACACAATGTGAGCAGAGATGGTGTGGATCGAAGTGGCCAGCAACCAACTTGGACCAGCGCAGAGTTAGCACGTGGTTAAAGCACCATTCTAACACCCTGAGGACCAGAGCACTAAATGTGACTACACCATTGAGTGTGGGCAGTGACAAAAAGTGTTGCATTACTTGGTGCCAGTGACCAAGAATGTGTGTGTGTGTGTGTGTGTAGATCAAAATGAAGAACTAAATAGAACATTTAGTAGTTATGCTGCTGTTCTAATAACCAATCAGAAGCTGCGATCACACCACTTTCAATTGCTATCTGTTGACTTATTCAAGTATATCTTGTCAATTTAACTCACAGGAAAAATATTTCTCTATTTTGATTTGGTAAAAGATATCTTTGCTTAATATTTAAAATATAAAAAGATCGATAATTATAAGAAAGCAGCTACAACATAAAATGATGAATATATGTGAGGAATAAGTTCTTTAACATCAATGTAACAAAATATGCAAAATATACATGTGACATTCCTTAAATATATTTAGCTTTGATGCATCTGTTTCGTTCAACTGGATGGGTTTTTTTTTTGTCAATAATTATTTTAGGTTTCATAACTCTCCAAAATGATGAAAACTTCTCTACTTTGCAAAATATTGTCTAGAAACTGTTAAAAGTAGAGCTGTACAATACAGAGTGATTTTACAAACTTATATAATCAATGTTAAGTCTATTTCATGTCACAAAAGATGCATACAAATAAACTATTTGAAATCATATGAGAGGCACCAGAGAATGCTTTCATTTTAGTAGAGTGGTAAAGTCAGGAGACAAATTCCCATTGTTAAGTTTGTTATTTTCGCAAAGCATGGTTCAGTGTGATTGTTAGCAATAATATTAAGCATTAAAAATACTCTCACAATAATTGAAATTTGTAGAAAAAATAGAACAACATTAACTGCTTTAGAAAAGGAGTGGGGATATTTATTAGTGTAACTCACTTTTTTATCATATTCCTTTTTATAAGGATCTGTGATTTTCGTCAAGGAAAACTCACAGGAAGAATACACACGTAACGTGTAATAAATAGAACTGTTTTTTTCATACTGGGAAATGATGAGTGTGTAAGAGTGGGTGCCTTTTTCCTCCACCATTTTGCAAAGATAATGTGGGCTATTGATTCGGACTCCATCAATAAAAGGAGGAGGGTCATCTGCAAAACAAAATTGAAACTTTCAGTAATGACTAATAAAAGAAAAAAAAACTAAATTTTTGGAAGTACTGCATATGAATATTGAAAGTAAATTTATTTTGCTATTCAATTGTTGTAACTATATCATTTGTTTATACAGAAAATACAAAGATACTTAAGAAAAAAAACATATTTATGCAATCTATCTCTAATATATCATTTAACCCATTAATGTCCACCATTTCATTTTTAAATAAAGGAATTTACAGTAGATATTAATGAGTTAATGTTAACTTATTTAAATTAGAAAACCTATTAAATATAATTTTAAACAATTTTATAAAGCAATAATATTTTCATTTAAAATACATTTTCACAAAAATGTATTCATATAATTATAACTACCACTATGAAAATAGTAACAGTGCTTTTAACAAAGTATTCATCAGAAGGTGACCTTTAAAAAAAAAGATTATAAATAACAGAAATCTTAGATTAAATTCACTAAATTTTGCATCAATGATATAAGCATATAAATTCCTCTTTGGAGGGATTTTAATGCAGGCTTATCATCTCTCAGTTGCATCTCTGTCCTTGGACAGAGTGTGCTCAGGGGCTTCTCTGTCTGAGGACAGAGGGGCAACTGAGGAAAATTATACTGAAGAGGTGCCCAGCCCTGGGGAACAGCTGCCCGAGGCCGCGCCCTCCCATTGCACAAGAGGGAGGGATCGGTGCTTGCACCGAGGCCAGCGCAACCAATGGTTGCGGGGACTGAGAGGAATTTTTTTGTCTGCCCGAGTGTATGCACTCAGGTCCCCACATTAATCCGACTTTGTGTCACATCTCGTTCTAGTGGGGGAACAAGTAAACACCGCATCAATGGTATAAGCTTTTAAATCAATTCACCCCATGCAAGTGATAATACCACTAATATGCAAAGGGCTACTTGGAGTAAAAGAGAAAGAAAAGACTTAAAAAGGAACTGGAAGCCCAATCCTAAACAGGAAACAAGGGATAAACATTTACTCTTATTCAAAAAACTGTGGAGGAGTGCGAACCAGATGATTAGGCTTATTTCAGAAATGATTTTAAAGCAAAATTTTTATTTACAGTTTTCATCATATTGTACATATCCTCTATAACAATGTGCATAAAGCCTTAGTCTTTATGTAGATATTAACCAAATTTTTTATCTAAAATTGTCACTGTATAATGCTTGATCTACGTGATTAATATTAACTACTGAATTAAGCGCATTGACAAAGGAGATTATGATGAACAATAATTTTTTTAATTTATTGTTTAATATAATATTCTTGTTATCTATTACGTAAAATAAATGTTTTTTCATAATTAGATTACAGATTTATTGATTTACCTATGTATATAAATTTAATATATATACAGCTCGCAAAATCAAGCCTGAAAATGAAATCATAAAAAGGAGAAAGTATTACTGAAAGCAACAAAAAACAAGACGTTGTGGAGAGCTATGATTACTGAAGGGACATGTCACATAGAGAGAAAGAGAGAGAGAAATATCAGTAAGCAAATCCAGTATTGTTCCTCTGAAAACACTTACAAGGGTAAAACACTTTCTTTCCTCCATTTGTGTAGACTAAAAGAGTAATAAACTCCCGGTTATTGGCAAAGTCATCCTTGCAAAAAAGAAAGAAAAAATATTGAGAAATTGCAAATTTTTAAAAAGTTATAACATTTAGGAATATTTTCTTTGAAAATAAATATATAATAAAAACCAAATATCTTTGAAAATTTAATAGTTAAAATATTTTTCTTGTCTGAATTTTGTTAGAAAAGATGTTTTAATCATTGAATGTGGTTTTCAAATTGTCTTGTATTTATTCTTTTTTTATACTGATATCTGTTGTATTCTGGAATGTTATCAAATCTTGCTCAGAGAAGTGTGTTACCCTCTCATTCAAGCCATGTCTAGCACCCACACTGAAGTCTTCTTGGGATTGTCATCTGGCTTCTATAAATACACAAATGTCAGCAACATATAAGAGCCCATCTCAGAGATTTGAAAACATTCCAGGACATAAACAACAGAGAAAGTTGGGGAGTACATAATTGAAATAATGCAGGATTGGGGCAGAAGACAAAGAAATTAGTCTGAACCAACTCATTCATATACAATTAATTTTTTTTTTTTTTGTCAAATTATGCTTCTAAGTTGTATTAAAAAAAATCTTATCTATTACCTATTTAAATGGTCATCTGTTCATAGTAAATCCCGGTTTTGTTTGCTTAGCTAAAATACATTTTTAAAAAGATTGGAAAGAGACAGGATCTACTGGAAATTAAAATGTATTGTTTCCAAATAGAATAGTAGATAATATATTTGACTAAAATCATCACTAACTGGGTAAGAAAAGACTGAGTTTCAAATACATGTTAAACTGTGAACATATGTATCATGTTAATGTTGCACCATGCTGGACAACTGTGAGTAACAGCGAATGATGAGACAAAATGTGCTTAACTGTAGTAACTCATAGCATGACTGACTATTATGGCTGCAGTGATTGATCCCTATAAATAGTTATAAGGGAATTAACTCTATTTCATCACAACATACTACTAAGATTAACCAAGCATTATCTTTTATTTATCCTATCAATCAGTATGTTAGTATACTTGTAAAATCAGAATGCCTTGGGTCATATAAAAGAGATACAAAAACAGGAATTTTTAATGTTCACCAAACAAGAAATAAACCAAAAGAGAAAAACAATGTAATTATGCATGCATTTACTGATGGAATTCTTTGAGCTGATAAGAAATTCTTTAGTTAAATGATGAAATAGAAAGAATGGCTGACAGCTGTAAAAATATTAAGTTGCTTAATTTTACAATCAAATGACAAATATATAACTTATTTTTAGTTTCTAATCTCTGCAGAGAAGAAATAGTCCAGCAACAATGAACACTTTTTACATAAATAGAATGTCTATGTACCAAAGTGAAACTTACAATATTAGTATAAAGGTAAGAAATATTAATATTACCTTATCTGTAATATGCCTTGTAAGAAGGATCCACAGGGCAGATGGCTGTGTAGCTCGCACTTCTAGATGATATTGTGGGTTATCACTGATATTGTAATTATCCTTTTTGGGACCTTCTCTTGCAAGCCAAGCGCTTTAATAAAAAATCCCTTTGATATTATTTTATTATAATCATATTTTGATTACAATAATAACAATAATGCCTGTATGAAAAGTACATTAATCTTACCTGTGTATACATGTAGTATACTTAAACAACTCTGGGTTCCAGTTGAGATGTATGACATCATAAAAGCGGATTATAGAGTCATAATCAATCCAGAAAACTCCTAAAAATGAAAATATAAAAAGGTATACTAATATCTTAATCTATGAATACAACTTACTAATGAAAATAGTTGTATTTAAGATTGTTTAAAAATTTACAATTTTTTTTAATCAGCAAAAATATACTCTGAAAAGATTTTTTCCAAAATATAATTTACTTGTATGTCAATTTTGACAAAGGTAAAGTCAGGACTGAATTTTTACCTGTTGAGGCCCTAAGCTATATGAAATTTGAGGCCTTTCTCTAAAATAGTTTCAGGTAAAAAAATTTAAAATTTTATACATGATTAATAATTATAATTTTTGATGATTTAGTATTAAAGAATAAAAACTAATGATAAAATAAAAATATATTTTTAAAAAAATGAAGTCCCCAAAGTTGCATGGTCTTAAGCTATAGCTTATAGGTAAATCCAGTACTAGGTAAAGTTTATCACCATTTTGTATTTAATTGGTTAATTGATAATTTATGCAACCACTTGACTAAAGTCTTGGATGAGGTAAAAATTGCTCATTCATATATTGGTTCTTATATTGGTGGGTTACTTAAACTATATAATGAAAAAATTTAAAAAGACATTTAATAATTCATTATGTCATTATATCAAATATAAATCTCCTTATTAAAGATGGGGTTATGTCACTTGACTTTTTCTGCTGTAAAACATTTTTTGAATATATTATTATTATTAACATTTATTATTGTAGTATTTTTAATGCTTAATATGATTGGGAAGAGAACATTAATGTTAATAATTTAGGTTGTTTAATATAAATATTGAGAGTACTAAATACATGCCAGGTTTTAAGCCTATTTTACCAATTTTATTAAATTGGGCCCCACACTGTAAAGGGGCCTCATGCCAGCAGTGACAAAGCTTTTTTTGTATTCTAAGAGGAATAAATTACTACTGAAAATGTGAAATGAAGAATGAGAGATTTTTATTCCTCACATTATTAATTTATTATGTATACTATATTAAAAGAAAATTGTTGTTATGTCACTTCTATCAACAACCAAAAGCTATGTCTTATAAAAAATTTTGTTTTTATTATTTGTAAAAAAAATGTTAAAGATCTAGTTGTTTTTTTGTTTTTTTTTATATACACGTTTTGAGATTGGTTTATTCTTCAGAAGGGCTAGATGATTTATCTGTTAAATTTTGTGCATTTTTTATGGCTTTTTAGGCTCAAGTGATGAACCACCAAAATTGTTTGAAATGTTTTAGATTTATTTTTTTTTAAACTTGAAGAGGATTTTTATATATATATTGACCAATGAGAAACAAGTTTGCTGGTCAATGTCAAATTTTGCTGAAGCCGATATCATGGTCACATTTCAAGAAAAAGCACTGCTATTAGTGGATGGCAGAGAAGAACAGGCAGGAGACAGGGATGTGCCGTTAATGAGAATGGACAGAGCATAGTACCCACACTTCAAAGGACATTCCAGCTAGAGGTCATAAATCAGATCTGACAGATACAAGGCAGATTCCTACACCAGAAGAGTGAACTAGACAAAAAAAAAAAAAACTATAGAGAAAAACAGGTTGAAAACACACACACACACACAAAAAAAAAAAACTCCTTCCAGCTGAGATGTCCTGTTTGTGCATACTGTTAAGAATGGAGGTTGGTGCTATTTGAAGAATTTCTGCTCTGTGCCACTTTGTTATTCCTTTCTTGTTTTCTTTGTTTTTGAAGGGATTAATTTTTGTACAGGAATCCGTTTCTTAAACTAATTGTGACATTTTTTGTATGTGAATCTGTTTCTTATCTAACAGATTTGTATCACATTTTTTCTTATTTCTGTGGGTAATCTCTTTTTTTTTGTTACCTCAGGAAAGTGTTATCTTGCCTAAATAGCTACATAAAAGGAAGTTTTTGTGCAACACTTGTTTTGTATTTTTCGAATTTATAAATTATAAATAAATGGGTTGTTCCTTTTAAGATTTTATGCAGAGGTTGTCTTTTTTCTTAAGTTGCACCTAATTTTGAAAGTTGCTGTTTTGGAGATGGTAAGAAGGTAAAATTTTTATAGTCTTTCAAAAAAAAGGGTACCAAAAGATCATCTGTATTTAGGTTACTCTATGATAAAAACATGTTTTCTCTCATTTTTTATAAGTGTTGTACTTTTAGGTTTCTTGTATTTCTTCACGTAAGTACCATTGCTCTTTGGATATATTTTGTTTTGTTACATATTTAAGGATATATTGTGTTGTAACAACATAATTGTCTATATTTCTTCTGAATCTTCTATTAGCAACTTAGTACTAGTGTGTGTGTTGGGGGGCATTGGATCTCAGGAAAAGGGCTCACCATTGATAAATACAAAACCCTGAGAAATAGATAAATGTCCTTATGGTGCCCAATTGTGGTGTACACTGTATTGTCAGTAAAAGCTCAAACAAATCTTGCAATGAAGAATGCAGTTCTCATCAGGCCAGGAAATTAATTTTATCTGAATTTCTGCAAAATTTATATATCTTAGCACTTTGCATGTGATTTTATTTGTTTTTTCCAAATGTTAACTAAACTAGATAAAATATTTAATCATCTATTTATATACATGAGTAGGAAAACATGGTGGTGTGATATTTACTATGATGTTCTGTGTACTTATTAACTTCATACTAATACAGACCCAAAATTTTTTATCCTATACTTATCAAATTTCAACAACGGTTTCCTTATAAGATTTTGTATAACCACAGCAATTTTCAAGTATTTTGGCTTATTACTTTAGAATTTATTATAGTAAATGCATACAAAATCTTTACAAGGCGGTTTCTCAAAACTTTAAATTTTGGGACAATAGTTCTTATAACTTTTTTTTTTAATATTGAAGTTCTTTATTCTGCCTTCCTTCTTGTTAATACAATTTTTTTTTTTATTTCTGATTATTGTCATTGTCTTTTCTAAAAAAGATGATTGTAGTGGACAGACAATTGAAAAAGAGTGTGAGAAAATCATCAATGAACATGCAAAGCACTTCAGCAAGTATTCAAAAAGGTTAGTAGCAATAATACAGTTTCTTGCTGAGAGAAATTTAGCATTTAGAAGAACAGAAGAAAATGTTGGTAATGAGAGTGTGCACAATGGAAACTTCTTAGGTCTTGTGGAGCTGCTTGGAAAGTTTGCCCATGTTCTTGGTACACATTTTCAAAAAAATCAAAACCCACAAAATTCATAATCAATATTTAGGAAAGAATACCCAGAATGAACTACTAAACATCATGGCTGCAGCTGTTTTGAATGAGATAATGAAATGTGTAAAAGCAGCTAAGTATATTACATCATTATTTTAGACTGCACACTCAATATGAACCACCAAGAACAAATGTCTCTAATGATCAGGTATGTGTCTGATGGTAACTTGGCCTGTAAGTTTATAATGTACAAATATATTTATAATTATACCGAAAAAAGTAATCTGACAAGTAATAAAAATTTCAGTAGAATTTACCATTGTCATACATTTGAGCACTCTGAGGGTCATAATTCAAAATTCTTTGTAGTTCAGGTGTCCAGTGTTTGGTGTCCTTTTCAGAATAATTTCCTTTCCATCGCAGATGATTCCATGGATTCTTCAACATGAATAATTTAACTCCCTTTCAAATACAAATAAATCATTTTACTACTCATGCATAAAACCTATACAGGGTGCGATAAGTAAATTTGTCACCATTTTATATTTTTAATTTCACGCATGTGCATTGTTTCTTTTTTGATCTTGTCGACTGCATTGTATAGTAGAGTGTATTGAGCACCATCTGTGAGAAAAAAAGAGTACCATGGCGCAATTCACTCTGTCAGAAATTTGGAAACAGTAAGCTGTACTGCTTGGCATTCATTTTGGAAGCTCCAATACGAACATTTGAGAGTGTTTGGGTGTCAATCTGAGGATAGTGCAGAGGATTCAGAAAGAGTTGGAGGAGTTTAATGGTGATAACAAAGCTTGGAAAACTCACTCTGATCACTCTGATAAGAAAAGAACTCCCAAATTTGCTGGTGATGGCCACATACTCAACATGGAAGCCTACATTAAGTGCCTTGAGGAAATAGTGGTGCCCTGGGTCAAGAGGGTGGCTGCTTGAAGACCCTATGTCTGGCAACAGGACTCTGCACCATGCCACACAAGCAGGAGAACCCAGTCATGGCTGTCAGACAATTTCTGTGACCACATCACACCTTACATCTGGTCACATAACTCCCCAACTGCAACCCCTTTGATTATTATGTGTGGAGCATAGTTGAGTGAGAGACCAACAAAACTCCTTGTAACACCAAAGATGAACTGAAGGCAAGGATTATGGCAGCATACACCAACTTAAACAAGGAGACCATCCAGAAAAGTTGCAGGAGATTCCAAAGTCATGTGGAGGCCATGGCAATTTCATTGAACAAATTTACTCTTTAGTATCTTGAGATATTTTTGTGTAATTTTTGTAAATATATTGTTAAAATGAGATGTTATTGCTATTTTCATTTTTGCATAATTTAGATGACAATTTATCCATCGCACCCTATATATATTTATAAACTTAAACCATGCAGATATATATTCAAGAAAAAACATACCCATAAATTATCAATATTTGATTAAAAATTGCACATATTTCAAATTTACTTTAATTGTTGATATATATATATATATATATATATATATATATATATATATATATATATATATATATATATATATATATATATAGAATGTTTAAAGACCAGAGTTTCTGCACAAATACAAACTTCATCTACTGCTCTACACTATGTAAGATTTTATTATACTAGTCAATGTTTTCACAATAATATTGTAAAAATTGCAGGATATATGTAAATCTCAACTCATAATACCTGTTCTTTTTTTCTTAGAAATGTTCACAATTTGGCACTATGAGATTTTCCCATGAAACTCAAAGGTTATCCATAATCATAAATATATATAATATTTTAGCTGTTATATATATTTTTAATTTCTCTTATATAAAAATTGCTATGGCTGATAAGAAAGAAAAAGAAAAGCAACATATTACAAAGTTATTGTGTGATCAGAATACAGCTTTACCAATGGCATACAGAAGAAATTAGTGTTGTGAATATAAACAGAGAAAAGAGGCAAAATATTAAGAATATTACCTGAAGGCATGAAAACCGTCAACAATAATTTTTAGAGATGAATTTAGAGCTACATTGGATGAGCCTGATGGGTAGACCAGAGACTGGATCCTTCATATAAATAGTCAACCAATGCTACTTAGAAGATAAAGGGGGAATGGAAACCAATGTTTAGGGCTAAGTATTGTGGGCAGTCCTTTCAAATTAGTTGAATTTTTTTATGGGCTCTACATACTCATATTTCCACACAATAATTGACCAATGGTAAGAGACATTAAAAATAATTCACAATCAGTCAGAGAACTTAAAAAAAATAAATAAATAAAGGACTTAACACTCATGTCTAGTTCCAATAAAAGAAAAAGAAAATTAGCTTCACTTGAACTGCTTTGATTTTGGCAAACATAGTGTCATTTGTTCATTCAAGTTGATTTAAAACAAATATTATTTACTTTAAGTATAAAATATCACAGAAATGCATATTTTTAACAAAGTGGTAGCTGTTTATTTAAGCTGTTTAGATGTTGACAGCTTCATGACAGATGGATGTTTATTCTATGGAGGCTTTATCCATAAAAAATTTTTTTCCAAATTCTGCTAGCAAACTCAATATTTATAGAACACTTATCCCCACTTTAAACATTAATCTTGTGTCTCCTACAGGCCACAAACAAGAAGCTTTAGAATTCTTCATTTTCTTTTTATACAAGAGAATGTTACTTCAAAGTTGATTATTTCCCACATCACAAAAAAAAAGAAAGTTTTTTTGAAAATCAAATTACTGAAATGGCCCTACATTACATCTGCAGGAGATGCTGGAAGAGTGTCAGTGTTAACAGCCAAAATGATTCTGAATTTTCTGTCTGAATTTACTTCCATAGCCTTTTTCATATATGGATATGGCCACATAATTGCAGAGCTTTAAAATCAAGGTATTCTTTCCTCTAGATGGACTGCCTTCCTGGGCTGATGAGCTCAATCTACCTGAAGAAGTTGGCTATAAGGTGCCAGTGTCTCCACTACTCCTACATTTTGGAGCTGGACTTAGTTGTCAGAGGCTATTTGAGTCACATGCCATGGATAGTGGGAAGTTTTTTTAATAAAGTGTGATATAAGCTGAAACTCACACAACATATATTGCTTGCATAAATATTTACTGAAAATTCCAATATCAGTTGGTTAATACTAATTTAATTGTAAAAATATTTACATGCATAATAAAATCTGGCATAGTATATGCTACAAGCTGTCTAAATATACAAAGATTAGATTTTGTCAATTCTAATGATCTTTTGATTTTCTGAGTACTTAATAGGATTTAAAATTAAAAAAAAAATCTTTAATAGCCTTGTTGCATAAATTATTAATAAATTTTCTTCTGATAATTATTTTATCAAAAAATGGCTTTAAAATTGAAAATAATTTCTATCATCAATACATTTTTTTAAACAGTAAAATTTACTCAAAAAGTATTTTCATAAATATAAATTCTTGCATGACAATAATTAGCTGGCCATTTTGACAAATGTAAAATTTGCTCTCATGTTGTATTTAACTGGTTAGTTGATAATTTATCTAGTCATATAACTAAAGTTTTACTTGAAAAAAAAAAAAAAAAAAAATGCTCATCTCTTATGTTATTTGCATTACTCACTATAGTGACTGCTAAGGGCAATGATTCTCTTTTTTAAGTATTTTTGTTTAGCAACTTTATAAAACAAAAAAAAATCAAGATTGTTACAACACATTGATTAAAGTGTTGCTACCTTTTTTTTAAGCTATGTAAACAAGAGCAACTTTTGCCTTACCTTTACTTCCTTAATGTCCAACATGGCATAGGCATGAGTTGGAACAAGCCCAGCACGATCAGCTTCATTCTGACTCATCTGTCCAGTGGATAAAGTAACCAAACAATGGCCTTTGTGAAACCTCTCCAGAATACGTTTGAATTCCTTATCCTTATCAAACTCTGATGTATTAGGCCTGATGGCCACTCGTTCTGGAATCCAGCCAGTCAAAGCATTGAGATCAATATTCTAGACATAAGTAGAACGAGATATACAGGTTTAGAATAGATCAATACATATTTATCTTTACATTTATATATTGGAAATGTAAACTCCTCTGCTGATACAAACATTTAAGAAATAACAAATTTCTTGAGCATGAAATGAGTAATGGATAATCTTTTACTAATATATATATATATATATATATATATATATATATATATATATATATATATATATATATATAAAAATGAAATAATTATTGTATTTTCACACTTTCTTAATAAAGTACAGATAAAATAAGTAATAAAATTCAACTGGTGTAGGAGTGTATTCTCAGCCTTACCCAATTCCCAAAATCAAGCATAAATAACCAAACATCAGATGTTTATTAATGGCTTCTTGGTTGAGCCAAGAGTGCTCCCCCTCCCCAAATTGTAAAACAACTTATTGCTGTAAAAAAAGTAATAATGGAAACAATAGATTAAAAAATTGTAATAAATCAGATGAAGTGACTTACAGAATTTGAGCCAGGAAAATCATATCCTCCCATTACTTTCATATATGCTTTCTCAAGTAATGACACCCATAGTTCATTGCGGTTATTAGAGAAGGAACACAATAATTCTCCATTATAGTTTAAAGGGAGATAATCATCAATGATCACCTGAAATAATTGTAAACAAATAGCATCATTAATTTTCATAACATTTGAAACAATTTTATATTAAAATTATTTTTCTTTCTAGTAACTCCTTTTTTATAAATCATATTAAACTTTTTTGTTCTGATTTATTATCATAATTATTTTGCTTTTTGATAGTGAAAATGTATTTGTTTTTAGATATTGTTAAACTGTTGATAGAGATACAAAAAGCAAAAAGGTAGAATATGGCTATAGTAAAGATTTTTAGTGACAGTAATATCTTTTCTATTTTCAGTTACTGTATTTACAATATAACAAAACACTGGTAAATCAACTAAGCCATATTTATTTCATTTACAATTTTTTTGTATAAATCAGTCAACTCAGGATTTACTGCTAGCTACTTTATTGACAACCTCAAACTTTTCACACATTTTATTTTAGCGTTGTCTTGCAGACAATATGACAAAGTGCAGAGATATTACCTCAGCCTCTTTGAATATTTAAAACTATCAACATTGAAGTATACACTCAAAGAATAAATGCACAATATACAAAAGGAGATGCAAAACATACAGCTGCTTATATTTTTATATATCAATCATTAACAGGAAAACACTGTCCTTGTAATATTTGAGTCATATTTACATGGAAATTTACATGTAAAATAAAAAGTTTTCATTTTTACAATCCATGATCATTTTTCTATTTTTTTCTCTCAGCTATAAAAAAAAAATTAATTGAAATTATTATTTCAAGATACTTGCTTTTCTTGGCACTCCATTCAGATGAAGTTTAATCATGTACTTCCCACAGGGATTGTACATTGGTTCCCCGGCTTTGTTCTGCGGGTAAATGATGCTGAGAAATGACAGAGAAAAAAATATAAACAAATGAACACAAAGCAAGACTAGTTTCTACATAGTTGATTTCTTCCCAGTGAAATGAATGGTAACATCCACACAAATATTTAATAATAAATAAATTTCAAAATATTTTAAACATATTTTACTGTACAATGAATAATAATATTTTAAACATATTTTACTGTACAATGAATAATAATATTTTAAACATATTTTACTGTACAATGAATAATAAATTATACAAATATAAAGCAAGTTCTGAAATGAAAGATTCTGATTGTTCATGTTCAGTTAGTTGTATACTGATGTGCCAAAAGTCATAGGATAGCAGTATGTAAAAGTAATGGTAGGTGGGGCCACTGTATCTTGATGTCATGAAAATACCCCAAAATTTATCTGTTGTGTTCCAGCATATGTGAACACCAAATAGCTAGGCTGCTCATGACAAATTGACTGAATTGCAGTTCAAATGGGATATGATAGTAGGTACCAGAGGGATGGAATATTCCACTTCTGAAATTGTGTGGACATTGGCCAATGATTATGACCAGAGGTATCTTGTTACAGCTGTGGTAACAGACAAACAACACTAGCTTAAATCATATCTATATTAAATGCCAGATGTACCAGATGTATATCCAATTGGGTCAGTTCTGCATTCTTTAATCTTCATGGGATATTGGAGTAGAATATACCCACCAGAATACCTTTGTTAACACAATGCCTCACCTGGACTCATGATTTCACTAAGAGGAACCTGAAGGTGTGGTAATATATGGTGTGATCTAAGGAGTCACACTCCCAGTTGTTTTGGACTGATGATAAGTTTCAGGTAGAGCACAGAACCCTTCGAGGTCATGGGTCCTAGCTGTCAACATGGCATCATGTAGGCTGGTAATGGTTCCATATGGTATGGAGTGTGTTCATGAGGCATGAATTGAGTCTGCTGGTCTGCCTAACCATGTTATTGATCAGTAATTTTTATGTTGCACTACGTCAAGACTATTTTGCACTCATTCACAGATCCCATGTATTCCAATAACAATAGGTCATTTCAGCAGGGCAATGTATCTAACCAAAATTGCCCAGTATTGGTTTGGGGAGTATTCTGAAATTTTATGACAAATGGTGCAGCTACTATGTTTACTTGATATCAGTCCAATCAAGCCTTTTTGGAATGTGATAGAGAAGTCTATTTGCATGCATGATCCTGTGCCTACAAAAATATCAGGGAGTTGTAGACAGCTATTGAGATGGTATAACTCTCCAGAGGTTTTTTGACCATTTCTATGACTGATGTTGCTGGACAAGTATATATGTGGGAGTGGAGAGTTCTACACAATACTAGGCAACTATAGCATGACTTTTGGCATGTCAGTGTAGTCTTAAAAAAGTAGGCTGAAAAAATGCATTGACTGAAACTTAGTGATAAAGCTAACAAGGAGAATTAGTTCAAATAGTTTTTAGAATAATCAACTTAAGTATTTTTAACCTGGCAGTCCCAAGAAAGAACAGGGTACTTTAGATTGTTTGTTTATCCATTTAATGCCCAAACTGTATACACATTTTGTGTAAGAAGAAAGGCAATGCAAATGATGCATGAACTGACCTTGTGATGAGTTTTTTCTTAAATCTTCGTTCATATTGAGCAGAAATAGCAAGAGAAGCAACAAAACTGCAGTCAGATACAACTGTCTGTCAATAAGTAAATAAGCCCTTAATTAATAAGAATCATCAAATATAAAATAATAGAATATATTGTAAATTCATTATAAAATCAATAAGCAATTTGTTAAATTTTCTAAGATGCATAAATTTTCAAAATATTTTTTTAAAAAATCCTGTGGTATTGCTTGTGTCACTATTATCAGTGCATATTTTACAAGAGAAATTTACAATTAGCAGCTGACCAGCTGTAGTTAGGAAAACCACAGCCCCACCAAATGGTGAAAGGTTAATATAGTGAATCTTGTAACACTAACTGAATAAATTTTGTTATAAACAAACATATTTGGCCTATTCTGCAATCTTGAAATCCAATAGACGCTTCAACCAACTTCATCCAGAGACCTTTTCAAATCTAAAATAAGGGCTACATATGTGGGAGGCCAACTGTGGTGGAGAGGAATGGCATATTCAAAAATATTTTTTGCAGCAATTTTATTTTTTTAAGATTTCTAGAAATTTATTCATAGCTTCATTTATTACATTTTGTTGTGATGTCATCTTTGTTCAAAATAGCCAAGAATTAGGAAGGCTGTAGTTAAGGAGAGTATCGAAGGAACAGAAGACGAAGTAGGGAAAATAAAGAAGAGGTCTATCAAATACTCATACATAGAATGGAAAAACTTGAGTAAATCAATAACTCCTCAAATCCCACTCTAATGTGGCTACTTGCCATATTTATAAGAGCAATCCATGTCACAATAGTAGGAAAAAGAAGGAAGTATATTGAGTCCTACTCTACAACACATTTCAAGTTACTTATTTTTATTTACTCTAAACAATATCTAGACAAAAACAACATGGTACTTTGCTCAACTATTCATCAATTTATGACATTACAATAACAATCCTTATTCCAGCATGATTTCACTATGGTTTATATTGACTTTTACTGATTAATATTTAAACACTTTAGTTTCACTTTTATTACTTTTTCAAACAAAAATTTACTTCATATAATCTATTTCTGTTTTTATGTTTTACTCTCAAATTGAGGTTTAAAAGAATTTGTTTATCAATTCATCAAAAATCTTAGCTGAGGATATCATTCATTCATATTTCAATATCATGTATTCACACATGCTGTTATATTTACATATTAAAAAATATTCTTCCAATAATCAAATATATTAATCTGCATTTTTAATTTATTCATTTCTTTTGAACTCATTAAAAACACTTGAAAAATTGTAGTTACTAAAGGCTTTTGTACTTTTATACAAAAATACATTTTACTATATTTGTTTTCACTTTACTTTATTGCATATCAACAAATCCCTTTTTGATATTTTATTATTTATGCGAAATAGATTCAATTCAAAAGGAATAGATACTTTCTTCGTTATAGAAATATTTTACAGTGTCTAGCATATTAAAGTTATCATGCCAACATATTTAAAAACATCAGAGTTAGAAAGAGCAAAAATAATAAGCAGAACTCCAAATAGAATTAGAACAAAAAGACCTACCTGCCTGATACTAAAGCTAGAGATAGCATATACCATTTGAGGATTGTCACAAAAATCTTCTGGCCGAGCCCACTTACAAAAACGTTCTTTCTGTTTGGGAGAAAGCTTAAGTTTTCCATGTTTATCACTATGAAAATAATAATAAAAGAACATGTTACCAAGATAATTAATCAAATAAAAAAGTTAAAATAAAGAGAATGTAGAAGATAAATGGAAGGAAAGAATATTATATCTGTGTGTGTGTGTATAATATATATATATATATATATATATATATATATACACACACACATATATATATATATATAGAGAGAGCAAGAGACAGATTATTTAATATTATACATTTGCCATTTATAGTGTCTGATTATATTGAATATTCATATTTGCTTAAGCACTTAGGATTGTCCAATGTGAATATGACTTTATATCTATTATTCCTAAACTCCTCAATTATATTACTATAAATTTAATCTTACATATTCTTCTGTATTTCATTTTTTTTTCAATTCTATCTTACAAGCATATTCCATGTAACAAGCATGCGCGGAAACGTCCTCGAACTGCGTGTGTGTGTTGGAGTACCATAATGGACTCTACCGAGGACTACAAGAAGACGTGCGAGTCGTTTGGCGTCTTTTTTTCAGCGACACAAGCCGTTGCAGTCGGTCATCCGGCGGCAGCAGTCTTGGGTGTTGGGTGCCGTTTTGCTCGTTGGCTGTCGTAAAGTGTTCGTTCGCAAGAAGGCGTTTGTTTTTATGTCGCAAGAAGGCGTTTGTTTTTGTGTTGCAAGAAGGCGTTTGTTTTTGTGTCGCAAGAAGGCGTTTTTTTCCCTCCCGTTTTCTCGCACAAGCTATTTTGGCGTTATGGTCTTCGACCCGAAGCTGATACCACTGTTCAACAGAAGCGATTCTGGACAGTCGGTAGTGGAATGGTTGGAGAAGGCAGAACTAATATGTCAATTGAGTGGTGTGAAGCGAATTGAGTGTGTTATCCCGATGCGTTTGGCAGGTGGTGCATATGCTGTGTACCCAGCAATTGAGTGAGGAGAAGCGTGCAGACTTCAATTGCGTTAAGAGAGCGTTATACACAGCTTTCGCCTTAGATCCCTTCTCCGCATGGAAGCTGTTTGGTGGCATATCAGAAAAGTGTTTGCAGTGTACATTCGTTGCTAGATTGCCTGAGCATGCAGAGGAGCTTTTAAGAGCATCATCCCAGATGGAAGATCTGGATTTGTCACATGTGTTGGCACGAGCTTGCGCTATTTTGAAGAAGTGGCTGCACAGTTGAAGGAAACAGATGTGCACACGAGGTGCTATAAATGTGATGGATCCAATCATAGGGCGACCGATTGTCTCCTGGGTTGTGAACCATCCAAAGGTGCTGGTACCAAGCACCAACGGACTATCACTTGCTATCAATGTCATCGGCAATGGCACATTGCTCGGTGTTGTCCGGGAAACGGGCAAGGGGGTGAGAATTCAGCACCAATCTCCTCCCCAAAACCCTTGTAAATGGCGCATTGCCTGTAGTGACAGTTCGTATCAATGGAATACCACGTATAGCTCTGGTGGATACAGGATGCACACAGTTACTAGTCCGCAAGTCATGCTGTCGTGCATGGACAAGAAAATCAACACGCGTGCTTACAGTAGACGGAGGCACACTTGACTGCTGTGGAATCGGAGTGATACAAATTAGCGTTGGTGCAAAGCCGTCCATCGCTATGGAAGCCCTAGTTGTGGATGGAGACCTGCTTGGATTTGACTCCCTGCTCGGACTAGACGCCATCAAACAGTTGGGAGGAATATCTGTAACTGTCACCGGAGAGGTGAAATTTCTGCAGTGTGTCAAACCAGTTGTTGTTGCCACCACCATTACCAAGCCCAACTTTAAAGTAGAATTCGATGAGACCACTCGGAGGTGAACCACATCTTGGAAATGGGCTGGCAACCAACCTCTGGGTACGTTAAGAAATAGACTGGCAGAATATCCAGCTCCCGCACAAATTCGGGAGGAGTATGATCGGGAACTCCAGATTTGGATAGATAACGGCTGGCTGCTTCCTTACCCGGAGGAGGAACTCGGGACCCCCAAAGGGTTTAATCCCCCTCATGGCCATTCTGCAGGAAAATAAACAGAAGGTTCAGCCTGTTATGGACTATTGGGAACTCAATGAGTACGTTGATGCATACGCGGCCAACGCAGATGTTTGTTCGCAAAAATTATGGGAATGGCGTCAGCAAGGACCAAATGCTGCAGTTCTGGACCCACGCCAGGCCTATCTGCAGGTACACATCGACAAGTCCTTTTGGCCATTCCAAACAGTGGAGGTTAAGGGACAAAGGTATTGCCTAAGCCGCTTAGGATTTGGGCTTAATATTGCCCCTTTAATCATGCGGGCCATTGTTAATACCGTCTTGAACCAGGACGAGATCGTCAACGCAGCCTCCTCCTCTTATATTGACGACGTTTTTGTTAATGAGAGTGTATGTTCTGTGGTCTGCGTCAAGGAACATTTGGAGCAGTTTGGTCTGTCAAGTAAGACCCAGGAGCGGCTAAGAATTGGCACACGTGTACTGGGATTGCATGTTTGGGAGGAGCAAGGAAAACTGCGATGACGGTTGTGAACTTCCGGTAGTCCCCGATAAACTTACCCGTCGAATTGTCTTCTCGCTGTGTGGGAAGTTGACCGGTCATTTTCCTGTATGCGGTTGGTTACGTGTCGCCACGGCATTTGTGAAGCAGAGGGCAAACACTGTTACCACTGGATGGGACGATGAAGTGCAGGACCCTTTTCTAGCCCAGATGATCGACGACATTTTAAAGAGACTAGCCCAGGACGATTCAGTGAAAGGTAACTGGTGCATCAGTGAGCAAAATGTAACCGTGTGGGTAGATGCAAGCTCCTTAGCCACCGGTGTGGTTGTGGAGAGCAATGGCGCCATGGCAAAAGACACAAGCTGGCTCCGACCGGTGCACGAAGACAAGCACATCAACTTGGCTGAGCTCGATGCTGTGTTGCGAGGTGTCAACCTTGCATTACAATGGAAGGCTAAAACCATTCACTTACGAACAGACTCAGCATGTGTGCATCGCTTGGTAGCTGACACTCTGTCCGGACGGACGAGAGTGTGCACCAAGGCAGCCTCCGAGATGCTAATCAGACGTCGGCTAGCCACACTCCAAGAGTTGGCCTTAGAATACGAGCTGGACATTGATGTAGAGCTTGTCAAGACATGCAACAATCGAGCTGACCAACTTACTAGAGTGCCGAAGCGATGGTTAAATGAAATGCACAAAATAACGGAACCCAGAGAACCTATGTGCACTGTGGCTGAAGAGCAAGATGTTGCTCAAGTACGAGCAATTCATCAATCCAGCGGATATCCTGGTGTGAAGAGAACACTCTATTTTGTGAAGTTGATCAACCCAAGAGTAACAAAAGCTGAGGTGCGAGCGGTGGTTAGGGGATGCAAGGAATGCCAGTCAATCGACCCGGTTCCTGTGCATTGGAAACCGGGCAGGCTTGATGCCGTGGAAAATTGGCACAGGGTTGCGATGGATGTAACCCATTTCGGACATCAACTATACCTGACGCTGATAGACTGCGGCCCCAGTCGTTTTGCCATTTGGAAGCCCTTGCACCGCCAAGACTCTGGCATCAAGGAGCTGGAAGTAGTGTTTTGTGAAAGAGGGCCGCCGGTTGAGCTGCTTACGGATAATGGCACAGCGTTTTGTGGAGAGAGGTTTGCCGCGTTTGCAAAGATGTGGAATGTACAAATACGATTTCGCTGTGCCCACGTACCATCGGGGAATGGGATAGTTGAGAGATCCCATCGTACTATAAAGCGCATCGCGATGAGAACACGGTGTTCAGTTTTGGAAGCTGTATTTTGGCACAATGTTACCCCAAAGGACAATAAAACAGCTTCAACTGCACCGGTGAATGCAACCTACACTTACAGGGTCCGCATTAAGGGTATCGACGCAGCTTTGGTGTGTGACGACACAGTTGCCAATCGGTATACGGTAGGAGAGACTGTCTGGTTGAAAAATCCGCACAGAAGGTGTACGACAGTTCAACAAGGGTGCGGTGACACAAATTAATAGCCCACACTCCGTCTCTGTTGATGGAATACCGCGCCACATAAAAGATGTGTGTCCAGCGTGCGGGAAGGATTATTCCATCAGCAACAACGTTAGTTCTTCTTCTTCTGATGATGAAGCCCCGATGGTATATATAAAATCACAGGAAGAGCACACCTCAGAGAGTAGCGTGCCTGATGAACCCATGCAGGATGAGCTCAGCGAGGAATGTAACGAGCATGCGCGGAAACATCCTTGAACTGCATGTGTGTGTGTTGGAGTACCATAATGGACTCGACCGAGGACTACAAGAAGAAGACACGCAAGTCGTTTGGCGTCTTTTCTTCGACAACACAAGCTGTTGCGGTCGGTCATCTGTCGGCAGCAGTCTTGGGTGCCGTTTTGCTCATTTGTTGTCGTAAAGTGTTCGTTCGCAAGAAGGCGTTCGTTTTTGTGTCACAAGAAGGCGTTCGTTTTTTGCGTCACATTCATTTCAGGTTCGCAAGAAGGCATTCGTTTTTGTGTCGCAAGAAGTTGTTTTTTTTCCCTCCCGTTTTCTCGCACATTCCACTCAAAGGGTTTTTTTTTAATTCCATTCTAACACTATATTTCTAATGAAAGAATTTAACCAGAAACAAAAATTTCTCTTGGTATTATTGCAATGGCTTTCAAATTTCTTCAAAATACAAGTCAGAGAGACAACTATTATAGTGTATTTATTTATCAATTTTTCACATTTCATTTAATGGATGATTAAAAAAGTCATTGCAAAATATTCATAAAACAGTTAAATTCAAATGAATTCAAAAGTAGATGTACAATAAAATAATTGTATTCATTTGCTTACCTGATTGGAACTGGGAAAGCAAATCTTTCCAGTCTATCTACAGACATAAATGGGACGTATTCTCTGTTGTTGATAAATGAGGAATGTCTTTTAGAGAAAAAAAACAAACTTCAGTTACATAAAATAAATGTTGAATGTTTTTAACTTTAAATAAAAATGATAATATTAGTAATGTTGTCACAATTTGCTGAATAAATGGATATTTTCAAGATATTGAAATGTATTCTAAGAAAAATGTTAACAGAAACTAAAGTGATGAGTGTCTGTATTAAAATTGAACAAATATTGATAGCCTACAGTTTTTTTAATTCAATATTTTACTTAAAGAAATTAAAATTACAAGAGACACAAAAAAGTACTAGTCAGTTGCACAGTTTTGCTAAAATATGAAAACATTGCTTAATTTATAAACCTTGAAACAAGAAAAAATATTTTATATGTTGTTCTTCTCAAAGTAGGTTAACTATTTGTTGGTTTTAACTTACATTTTTTTTCCTTTTTATCACCAATATCTACACAAAACTCTTTTATATTTTCTTTTGTTTCCTTGCTAACAGAACAGTTAAATGCATTTATCACCAAATGGTTATATTTATTTAGGTTATAAATAAAAACATTAAATATTCAATTAAAATGGTGTCTAATTATGCAACAAAATATGATAGAGTAAAGGAAACAAAATATTATAACTACTTCTATACAAATTTTAATGTATAACATAAAATAAATAAAGCAAACATTTTTGTGACATAAAAATGACTCGCCTTAAAACATCAATTTCCTCTTTTGTATAGTTTCCTGGACCAGCCACACTGATTTGCTGAGGTTTGGCACTTGCTGCAGCTTTGTTATCTGTATCATTTTTGAATGCTCCAAATCCAAGGGGCGGTATGACTCTCTGGTTTGTATCTTTTACTATAGATCTGGAAGTATCATTTGAAGCGGTCTGTTGTGGTGTCTGTTTGGCACAACCTTTCAAGCTCTCAGCTCTGGAACAAAAAAAAAAAATATAAAAAAACTAATTTTAGTTAATCTGTTTCAAAATTATATTTTATTGTAGTCAAGAGAAAGATTTTTAAAACGATAAATCTTGGAAGTTATCAGAACTTACTGGACTTCAGTTCTTAAAAAGATTTTGAGGAATTTATATATTTGTTTACTGTTCAATAATTTTATACCAATGTAATGCCTTCCAGATTATCTGTTTATTATACATTTAAAAATGGTCTTCTCATTTATTTTAGAGAAAAAAAGATTTTTTTCTAAGATGATTCATATTGCTCTTTTATGAGCATTAGGTAAAGTAATATGAATAAATTTTTGTTTTATGAAAACTAATTAATCTTAGATTTTTTATTTTTGATAATGACACATATCATCAGTTTCATGGCCAAGTGTGATTGTAGGATCACTGTACAGCTGAGCAGCCGGCCAGCTCCCTCCATATCTCTCAGTTGTGTGCTAACGTCTGTGAATGACCTTCCAGTCCATTCAGCATTGTTATCAGTTCATTTTCTTCTTTTACTTTTGCATAAGGTAGTCCCTTATAAGATGGCAGTGGAAAGATTGTTGGCACTTATAATATGGCCATACCATTTCAACTTTCTCTAGTTGATGATAGTTATGAGGTTTACCTATGGACCTGTTTCTTATTAGATGCTGTATTGCAATGCATCATTTGTGATGCAGTCACAATATGAGATGCCTAATATGGTTCCATTGCATCTCATTTCTAATCCTTGGATTCTTTGCTGTAGTTTTAGTAATGTTCAAAATTTGCAGGTGTACAGAAAGACTGAGAAAGCCAATGCACACAACAGTCTGATCTTTGATTTCAAGTAGATGTTCTTGTTTTTCCAGATGGTTCTGAGTTTTGCAACAGTTACCATTGTTTGCGCTGCTCTTGAAATTATTTCTGTTCTGTAACACTTTTCACTGATAATCAAGCCAACATATTTAATTTGGCTCACTAGTTTACATTTCTAACTACTTTTATCTTAGTTGTGTAGCTGAGTTATCGAAATTCTTTTCCTTCACTCCTGTTGCACTGATAGCATCCCTTCAAGCAACTCCCCGGTGTAAACAAATGCTGGCTTTTATGACATCTAGCGAGGTCGCTGCACAAAGTTTTGGTCATGGAAAACATCACCTAGTCTGCACAGATTGAGTATCCTGTGCACAGCACAGGCAATCTTATGTCACATCGGGAGGACAGGCTGTATCCACTAAAAGTTGAAAGCTTTTTCTCATTGTTCATCATGAGTTTGTTATTTTGGGCATTAATCTCTATGCCAAGTCTGAGAATGTCTCATCAAGGTTTTTCACCAGACAGTTCCTCTTTTTTGACAGCTAAACATATGTTGTCTGCAAAGCATAAGTTTGTGATGCTGACTGCTCCAATACTGACTGTGCCCTGGTGCTACTCGAAGGTGTCACTCATGATGTGTTCAAGAAAGATGCTAAAGAGTGGAAGAAGACAGTCTTTGGTATACAGCAATTGATGTGTAGAACAGTTCTGCACTGCTTGCCTTATTACTCATACTGGTTACTGATGATGAAATATTGATGATAAATTCAACTCAATCATGACTGAAGCAGCTAAAGACATCATTAGCATGCAGCACTCAAAGAAGAAGCCATAGTTCACTGAAGAAATATTGGCGTTTGTAGTTTAAATAAGTCTGTATTGCTACGACGTCACTTGTACAAATCAAGAAACCGCTGGTTCAATTCGCTGTTCTTGCTTTCTGAACACTTCACAATGTATGTCCGTCTTTTGTTCTGCCATTTTCACTGCTTCATCCCTCTTTTATCAGGCTAACACTGCAGTCAACCAACCAATCAGCGTTCTTTGCTTTTATTCTCAGTTACCCAGGCAAATAGCTTCCTCCAGTTCAACCAATCAGCACATGACTTTCTATTGGTGGATGCATGCCAAACTGTACAAAAACCTTTGTTACCGCACATACTGCTGGAACTGCTAGACGGGAGAGTAATGCCATTTTCACAGGGCAAACTTGCTGATGTCACGCGCTGCCCATTAAGGTAAGACCCTTATTTTCCTATGCACCAGATGCAAGCCACTCTGACTCGCTTACTTCTACAGGGCTGTTCATCACAGTGTTGTGTGATGAATAGAGAGACAGACAATGGGAGCAGATAGTACAGAGAAATCAATAAAAAAATTAAGGACAAAAATGAAGAAAGCAAAAGAAAAATCGATCAAAAACAATGCTCAGCGATTGGAGAAAATATAAGGAAGAACCTTATTAAGAATGGATTTCAGATTGTGAAAGATCTCCGGAAGCAGAAACAATCTCGGATACAATCCAAAACAAAAAAGGAAACTGCTTTACAGAATCCAATGACATAATGAGATGAACAGAGTACTGCTGTTAACTGTACAACCATCCTGTCAGAGAAAACCCTGACATCCTACTAATCCAAGAATCTTCAAATGATTCAAATGAATCCTCAAACTTAGAGAAGTGAATGCAGCATTAAAATCACTGAAGAAAGGTAATGTAGATGGAATTGACAACATCCTAGCTGAATTTAACATATATGGTGGTGAATCAGTGATAAATGTGTTAACAATAATCTGTAACAAGATCTGGCAATCAGGAAGGTGGCTAACAACATTCACCTAATCAATGATTATCACCTTTCCCAAAAAAGTTAATCTCCAACAATGTCTAAACTACAGGACTATCAGTTATGAGCATTTAATTGCAAAGGAAAGGAACAAACAAGGATTCAGATTTCAGAATATATACATAGTTGTATGTAAGGTGGCACAAGTTGTTAATATGTGGTCCTTCAATTGCTGTTGGTAAGGAAAGTGATTAGGTGTAATGGTGTCGTGAGTAGGGTCAAAAGTTGACTGATTTCTTTGGTTGGTTGGCCAAGGCCGCAGTTGAGGTCTGAGTAAAGGTCTGGAGGAGATTAGCTGGGGTCTGATGTATGCCCTTCTTCATGATTGAAATTGACATCCTTGAGGTGTTTGATGGGCAGATAGCTGTGCGATACTGAGATGTTGAAGCTGACCTCCCTGGTAAGATGGATTAGTCAATTGAGGTGGTAGGTTGATTTGTTGTGAGGCGTGTTGGTGGTTGCTGAGGTTATGACAATGATCACCCTTCGTTATCAACAGTGTAACCCCATTTCGTTGATGCCACATTCAACCATAATCCAAGAGAGTCATTCCGCTTAGTCAACCTTCACTATCCACTCCATGCCTCTTGTCATTACCAGCATGACCCTGTTTCATTGATACCACATTCAACCAGAATCTAACAAATATATTATGCTCAATCAACCTTCACTATAAACTCCAGACCTACTTCATTGATACCACATTCAACAGAGACATTCCACTTTACTGAACTATTTACTCACAACTCACTACCTATGAATCAGGTTGAGATTTGGGGGAGCTGTAATACTCCACTATAATTAGATCTCTTTCTGATTCACACTACATATTGGCTGGAGTTGAACGTTGAGAAAGCAAAAGACAAAATAAAAAAAAATTTGTTTTCTGTGCAAGGGATCCGAGCATCACATTCAGCCAACATGTATGAAACAGAAAGAGATTGCAGTGGAGTATAACATCGATCATGCAAGTAAAGTGATGTCCAAAATCATTCTAAATATATTAATGAATGAAACAGAAAATCCCACCACTGAAGACAAGGCTGAATTTGACTGTAGAAAAAACAGCACAGAACAGATATTCAATCTCTGAGTTCTATAGGGGAAAATATTTGCAAAACCTCTACCATATCTTCATAGACACAAAAAAAAAAAAAATGTCTTTTGACAGAACATGTCACAAGACATTGCAGTGCAACAATGGTACATTGGGATAAAAATATTAAAATATTTCCTACCTGTTCAGAGATTGTTTTGCAAGCTTAGTAACCCTTTCTTGTAAATGGGAATCTACGGTTTGTTGCCGCTGAAAATACACATTTATAAATTATCTATTAATCTTTATTTTCAAAGGTAGAAAGGTTTAAGGTATTAAGATTATTTCAAGCAGTAATATATTTAACCTTTTTATGAAAACATTTCTATAAAAAGCCTAAATGTCCTAGTTAACATATTACATAATTCTTGATTTATAGTTTTTTGAAAGTACAATCTTGTCCCTAAAAATCTACAGCAATTTTTGCTTTGCTTTTTACATTTAAACTTTCACTTTGAGAAAAATTTTAAAAGTAATTACTATCTTAATACAGAGTTCTACTGCTTCCATGTATAACTCCACTGCTTCTTCTGTGTTGTTCTGTTCATCTTCCTGAAAAGCTTGCTGGACTATAAATGCTGCCCGTTCTACATCAAGCTATGAAAAGATAAGGGAAAAAATGACACATTTAACAAGAGCAAATCACTGGTAAAAGATAGGAAATAATAATTCTGGTATATTAGCATAGATTTTACTTTTGGCATTCAAAGTTAGTGTTCAAATCTGTATAAATTACAAGTATTTGACAGTTAACAAAATTAGCACTCTTCCTTAGACATTTAATAAACAGTTTAAAGTTGTATTAACTAGATACAGAATCATGCTAACCAAAAGATCTACATCACTACAAGTACATAATTTTCCTTTTCATATTTACTGCTTGAAAAGCTACACAGCTCTGAAAAATACATCAAAACATTATCAGTCAAATATTGTTGAAAAAAATTTTTTATATTACAGCTGGTAAGTAATAGTTTTATACCAAACAAGACTGTATTTTTATTGTCTTTTGTATACATATTGTAAGATATCATATTTCATATTCTCATAGAATTCATAAAGAATCACAAACTTTGAAGATATATTTTTTCTTTAGCCATATACATGTATATCTCAACTACATCTTTGATCATCATATATTAATGAAAAATATAAAGATCTCACTCTGCCAAAAAATCATATTTATGTATCTCTTATATTATAAATTTTATCTATTTTTGTATAAGTTCAAATTTGGTAAGTGAAGTTCATCTGAAGAATGTTTTCAAACCTAAAGCTATTCATCTAGTAATAGATAAAAACATTTTCAATATCACATGCTTAAAAATATCTGGCTAAAGGATTGTAAAAGTGCTCAAAGAAACATCTCTTGATGAATAGCTAATTTATCAAAGGCATGTGAATATTCTAACAAGGTTAATAGTTACCTTTATCTATTGTTATTTTTGAAGTTGCTATTTTCATTCTAGTTAGTTTTTTAAGTTCTCTGTTTATTTCTGAATATAAGGTTGTATTTTTTTTACATTTATTTTTGTATTTTGTAAACTGATTAAAGGATTTGGTATTGCTCCTCCTGATTATAAGTGCTATTTATAGAAAATTAATGTTGGAAAAAACTGATTTTCAAATATTACTGTAAGGGTTTCTGCAGCACTTACTGCAAAATGGCTGTACAGTAAAATACAGTCCATCTTTGTGCACAATTAATGAGAATTGTAATCATTTTCAAAGTAAATCTCTTGAAATTCAGAAAATTTATTCATTGTAATTTACAATGAAAAAAAACAAAAACAAACAGTAATTATGAAACCACATTATATCAATATTATAATTTTATAAACTGGTCTCTAATTTGCAAGCTTCAAACAGGAATAATTTTCAATTTTTATTATAGACTTAGTTTTCTTGTGTAATAAAGTGTTTTCATAACAAACACTCTTAAGTTCAGGGATGACAAAAAAATAACAAAAATACTGATAGCTTACCTCACTGAGACAGACTCCTAAAAAGAGGGTGTAAGTAAGCTTATTGGTGATAGATATATCTATAATGAAGAGGATGCTGCATTTCCATATCTGTTAATTTATCATGTTGGCACAAATGAACATATGTCTACTCTTCAAACTACAATGTTAATGTTCATTAAAGCTAGTGTAGAAGAAGCTTTGAAGGCTTTGGATTTTACTCAAAACTTTCCTTGATGAAATACCTTGAAAATGACAACAGATAAAAGATTACCAAATATTATATGACTGTAACTAAAGCATTATCTCTGAAACCAGGAGGAATTATTACCTTCCTTCATTATATCTTAAGGCTAAGTTAATCTTGATTGGCACTGAACTTGCAATTGTGGATGTGCAGATGGTGAAATGGATAGCAGTTTGGAATGAGAAATTGGAGAGGTGAGTTTGAATTCCAATCAGTTTCATTACATCCATTTTACATTGAGAAAGGTATGAATCTATCTTCTTCCTTCAGCTAAGGGTTAAATAGTAGGATCTGTATCTAGAAAAATCATATTATCCACAAGAAATTGTTAATGCAATATTCATTCACAAAAAATAAGATTATTCTTAAACTCCAAAATATGTTTTGGCTTTAAATAATCTACAAAAGGTTGATAAACCATAAAAACAATACAATACATTGTGATAACGACTTTGATCAAATGTGTAAATGCTTTCCCACCAGAGTCATTCAAATATTCCATACAACAATCAAGCCAGCTGATTAGTCAAATATTTATGGAGTATACAAAATAAAAATTTGATTTCTGCTATTCTTTCATATCACTGACCTGTTGAGATGGTTTTGTACTGTGCTGAAGTGCCATTGCTCCAGAACCTGTAAAAATAAACTTGAATTAGTTATATTAAGAAAGTAATACACATTATCAGTTTCCTTGTTAACACATCAAAGATACTAAATATACTTACAATAGAATTTTTTTCTTATGTATAAAACTAATTTATTTTAACATCTACAAGATAGTTCAAAAAGAATATCATGAAAACAATATTAAATGAAAGTTTTGTGATAAATATGATAAAAAAATAACCTTTAGAATTTCTGTCTTAAAACCTTTCTTAAATCTCTACTTGTAAAACATTTTATATTTTTATTAGTAATCATAAAGTATTAATGAGACTGTTGACCCAAATAGAAGTTAATGTTGTATGAAGGGATGATGAAAAGTTCTCTGCCCAACAAAGAAATTTAAAAAAATATCTGATGTTTGGTCAGATTTTCAAACATGGATAATCATAGTGCAAGGTAAATGTATTGCTGATGGATAAAGACAGCTAAACTATTTTGTACTTGGTTCAACTATTTTATAAAACAAGATTTGGAAAATGTAATTGATAAGTAGAAATAATGATCATGTTTTGAAAAATTCTTATCAAGTTAATCCTGTTTAACTCATATAAATCAAAACATTGCTATTCTTAATTTAAATTCTTTTGATTCAAAATTCTTTAAGAGCCATCATTATCTTAATTTACTGTTTTTCCTTTTTCAGTCAGAGTAGCAAGACACTCTTCGTATAGGTTGTAACTTCAGAAGATATGTAAAATATACTGAAATGCTGAATTTGGTAAAAAAAAAAAACTTATATTCTCAAAATTTAAGCTGTGACTACTAAATATATACATGAAAATATTCATTTACTTCAATCATACAGTAAAAATTGACATTTTTTTTTCATTTAATATTTATATTACCAATGAAATATTCATGAGATACTTTGGAAAAAAGTTAAATAATAAAATTCTTACTATTGTTTTTCAAGCTATTTGCTCTATCCATATATTCTTTAATGCGGTCAGCAATATTGGGGATTTTAGAACCTTCGTCAGCAGCCATATGTAATGCCTGAGCAGCTTCCTAGGAATCATGAAGAAAGAAAATTAATAAAGCTATTACCTATAATTTTGAAAAGCTTTGTTCTGACTATTCATTGTGTTGTTTTTGTTGAAGAAGACTGTAAAATGGGTTAAACCAAACACCGTGGGAACAACAAAAGAAACAATATATTTAATAGTCTAAACAATTCTTGGAAAAATTAGTGAATTGATTTCAGCTTTTCTTACATGGAGATAGACATTTTAAAAATGGGCATAATTTCTGATATTCTTTTCAGACTTAACAGAAAATAATATAAAAACAATCATTTAATAATTGATTGAAAAAGATAAAAAAATCAGAAGCAAAGAGTTTAATGAAATGAGAGAGAAGAAATATTAACTGTTTAAACTGCCTTAAAAGAACCTAAGCTTATTTTAAGCTTGTCTCTTCCATTTGCAGTTCAACATAGAAGATCTAATTATTATGACACTGACAGTTTTCTCATGCTTCAAATATAAAATATAGGATTTATTTTAAAAAGCAAATTTGTTGGTTTACATATCAACTCCATATTAACAATTAAATCAAAGAAAAATGTAGTTTGTATCAAATAAGTACTTATGCTTGGTGAACCTAATAAATCTTGTTAATTTAGTTACCTGTTTTTGCTCATAGATGCATTGGATGTGCTTATATTTTTAAATAATATTAAGTAATCACATCTTTAAAGCATTAAAGGTTTCATTTTATAATAATTATTATCTTGGTTAATCTACTATTGTTAAAAAAACAAAAAAAAAACATTTTACTTTTTTTTTTCTTTTACAGATGGAAAGTCACCTACAGCAAACTTTGTACAATGGCAAAATAACTGCCTTGGCCACTTCACCTGGATCAAAAGACCAACAGGCAGAGAAGTAAAAAATATAATAAAACATAAATCAATGTACAAATTTATATTGGCTGTGGTTGATATATCTGGAATTATTTTTCCCTAAGTTACTAAATGGTCTGTTAAATAAGCTCCATGGGCACTCAACTCTTTGATAAACCACAAGAAATCCTCTGGCTGTTTCAGAGGATTTCTTTAATAATCACCTGTGGTAACATATTTACATTAGGACAGCAAAGGCATTAAGCTTACATTAAAATTGCAACCTATAGAAAAAAATTATTTTTTCTAAACTCTTCAAAACTCAAGTTCTTGATAATTACGAAAGAATGATTGAAAAATGTTCAAATCAGATGTTATCTCCTAAGCCGGCCAAGCATAGACATAAATACAGTATGGGAACCAGTAATATGGAGTGCTAGAGAAAAACAATAATAACAACAAAATTGTAATATGAGCTCTGGAAAAAAACGGTTACTGTGACATGAGGTTTATAAGCCCCCAAAATTCACATTAATATCCTCAAGGACATATAGCTAAAAAAGTGGATAAAAGTGTTGGTTGAATCCAGTGACTTGACTGAAAGAGTTGTGAGTCCAATATCTGGCTACAGCAGAGATGAACAAAGAAAGTTAAAAATAGGTACCTTCATGAAAATGATAAAAAAAAAAATCAGCATACTGTGATGAAAACATGCTTCAAACATAATAAAACATAGTTTTATCTTCAAAATCATTATTTTTTTATTAAGAGGAAGGATCAATGTATTTTTTGATGATTTAATTAAATTTTTTACTCCTTTTTAGAACATTTGAAATTTTAGTTAAAAAACTTGTTTTTCTTGCATCAAATTTTTACCTCTTTTTTGTGATGACAAGACATGGTCTTAATTTCAATTGCTTTTATGAATAATATGTATTAAAGACAATATTGTCTGAAGAAAAAAAAATTTTGACGAAAAATGAATTTTTACAAGATTTGTTTTTATTTTTTACAATTTTAAATTAAATAATTTATAAAGTTTTAAAATTCATTTATAATTTTTAAAAAATTCATTTTCAGTAATTCTTAGAAAATATTGTTATTAAGTAAAACTATATTTACTAATCATATATTGTAAAGCTTATTACAATCTGATGACCCCAAATATTTTTAAAAGAATTTCAATTTGTTTTTGTATGTGTGATTACATGCAGAATTTCTGAAGTATGGATGTACAAACCAATAAATCTAGCAGTCAAAGGTCATGTATTTTAAGGGTTGTCCCTGCTTATAGCAAAAAAAAAAAAAAAAGTTTTATCACTATACTTAACTATGTGTATATTCGGCTGAATGTAAATAAATTGATTAATATGTTAGAAAAACAATACCCTGTAGGTAAGAAATGTTTGTATACAACATTTTATGCTATAAGTAATATTTGTTTCAAATCAGATTAATTTAACATTAAATTTGCTAATTTTTCTCAAATAACATTTCAGAAATATATATTTTATTTTTGCAAGATTTTTAAAACCAAGTTTTAATTTTTGTTTACAAAGGTGTCAAAATGTTAATTTTGTCCAATTTTAATGAAAAAAAAAAGTTTATTCCAATTAATATAGATTATTTTTGAAATACGCCATAGAGTATTTTGCTTATAAATAGTAAATTTTAAATCTTTTAGCTTTCAATTAAAACTAAAAAATGTAAATACAGGTACCTCCATGAGATCGAGAGCATAGCATGATGAAAAAGATGCCAAACTTGACAAAAACAAAATTTTATCATCTAAATGTTTATGTCCAAAGTTTTTGTTAAAAATCGTTTTTTTTGAGTCAGTAAAATTGACAGATAATCAATCATGTCAACCATTTTTTTCCATTTTTTAAGAAAATCAGAAATTATAATGTTGATTTAAAATATTTTGAAACCAGCATTATTTAGTTTCTGCACCGAAAAGGTGTAGTTTGAAAATTAAACAAAGCAGGTCATAACATTTCACGTCACTTGACAGGTGATGAATGACGTATCGACGGATTATGTGAAGATAATTTGTTCTATGGAAGGAGAAAAGTGAAATTATTTAGATTTAAGTGAACAAATTATTTACCTCATTATTTTTAAGGAAAACTTTCAGCGCTCTAATTTTTTTGTTTTTTGTATTTAGGTTTCACCTTTACGTTTACAATGCTTTTTGGAAAATATATTATAAAGAAATTAAAATAAGACTGTTAAGAGTGAGATTAAATTCCATAAGAAAGGTATCTAATTAATTTATTATTTCTTATGAAATTTTATCAGAAGTGTACATAAAAGCTTGGTTCAAAATATTTTAAATAAACATTATAATTTCTGATTTTCTTAAAATAAGTTTTGAAAAAATGATAATTGATATTTAAAAGAATTTCAAAGGGAGATTTTCAATTTTTTTATAAAATGGAAAAAGTGGTCAATTTTGCTGACTCAAAAAAAGATTTTTAACGAAAATTTCGGACATGCTAGGAACGATTAAAAAATGTTAAAAAATACCCCCAAAATACTGTGATCTTTCCTCTTAAAATAATAACATAAACATTTAGACGATAAAATTTTGTTTTCGTCAAGTTTGGCGTCTTCATGCTATGCTCTTTTTTTTAGCGATCTCGTGGTGGAGGTACCTAAAGACATTAAGACAAGAAGTTACCTCGTGTGAAAGACATTAAGAAAAAAAAACATTAAGGAGAGTGGCCAATAAAAGTACAGGAATTAAGGAGACGTAAGATGACAATATTGATATTGCATTTTAAAAAAGTTTTGAAGATTAACTGGAAAAAAGCAAGAAGTCGGAAGAGAGTTCCACAAGCTAGATGAACGATAAGCCTAGATCTTATAAACAAATAAAAATTAATTAATAAAAGTTTTCAGAAATGTGTGAGTAGATCGGCCCAAAACATACAAAGCGATTTTCTCACTCATAAGTTAACTAACATTTAACAATCATAATGTCTCTTATAATTTTCGTAAACTTACTGTGTAGTAAAAAATTGCCATTGCAATTTGTCCCATTTGATCACATTGTACTGCCAACTGAGCAAAATTTGTTCCATCTCGCTCAAGTGCTGAACAAACAACGTCCTCATCAGAATCTTTCATGTCAGATCTTCACAAAAATCTAAAAACAAATGTGAAGTAATATTAATGTCAAAAAGGAAAACGCTTAAATATTGTATTATTAACAACTTGACAAAAAGTATTTAAAAGAAAAATTTAGTGTTCGAAAGAGATGTTTGTGTGCGGGTGAAATTGATTTCATTATGTTTGTAGATGTTGCGAAATCAGAGTTAGAATTTTACTTCGTTTTACGACCTGAAATTACGTGAAATGAAAAGATATCAACGCGTCAAATATTCATTAGTCAGTGAAGGTAACAGGTGAAAATCTTTAACTAACACTTCAAATATTTGATAAACAATGAAGAAAAATAGAAATTACTGGATAAAAACTTAAATTAATCTTGTATACTACTTTAAAGTGAAAACAAAAATAAAGTCTACAATAAAAAGACAACATGATTCAAATTCTTTAAAAAAGTTTTTCTTCGCCTTTCTACTTCTGTAGTTAAACTGAAAGCCGGAAAGCGTGTTAAAATAAATTTAAATATGAAGAATATTTTTCCAAAAATTATTTTTTAATGAAAAACATGTTCTTACAAGATAATTCTATTGTTAAACTTCCTAAATGAAATAAGCATACACTTAAACCAAAAATTAATAACATAACGAACGATCATTAAAAAGAAAATAACCACTCATATTTTCTTTTAAAATGACACCTGGGCTTGAAATTATTCAACTGCAATAAAAAAAAAAAATACTTTCATTATTGCTACAGTAATTTTTAAGAATGTTATTTAATTTTTTGTTATTTCAAGAATGTATTTAAAATTCATTTACTTTTTAGGTAAGGTGGGGGATTATACCCAAGAAGATTCTACCTACAAATTATATTATCTTTAAATAAAATAATAATTAGCAAACATTAGTAAACTTCAGATTCTTAGCACATTTTTTAACTTTATGTTGATACAGTGTCATAATACAACGTGTAGAAAAAACCATGTCACTTCATTTAAAAAAAATAACTAAGTTAAAGGATAAACCACAATTATTCAACTCAATATAAAAAAAAATAACATTCATTATTGCTACAGCCGTTTTCAAGAATGTATTTAATTTAAATATCTGTAAAAGTATGAGAACTTTTTGTTGATTAGGATTATATTTACCAACAAGACGACGAAAACAAATCATGCAACTACTCCCGATCGAACAAGTTTAGTGACATCAGGGAAAGAGTTATAAAGGGAGATAACTTAAAAATGAAATCTATGCTGCAAAGTGGATAAATATCACAAACAAAATGTGTAAAATTAGACTGGATTTCTTGAATAAATAAATAAATGTTATTTAAGGTAGACATTTTGAATGTTTGTTTGTTTTCTTAGTTGTAAGCAACGAGCAAGAAAGTAATCATTGTTTTAAAAATTATTGAACAGTAATCATCATGATTACTGTTCAATAATTTTTAATTTTAAAATAAATAAAATATACTTTGTTCTATAAATTCTTTCTTTTCCTCCGGAGTGTGTAAAACGATCATAGCCCTTCACAGATTTCTATCCATTGTTGGTCTATGCAATACTTTATTATACATCACTGGATCTAACCAACGTCTTTATCCACTGCGCCATGTGTCCTCAAGGACAGGGCCCAAAGAGTGTGAGTTCAATACCCGGTTAAGGCAGTAGAGAACTTTCAGAGGAAAATTAACAGGAGATAACTGATAACTGACATCCATCAAACATGGCACGTGGAACTAGAACAGTCTACCCCAGTGAGCGAAATAAAGGGTTCAGTTCGAAATTCCAACCACCTGAAGAAGGCCGGAGTGTACAACGGCCGAAACGTTGTGATAAATATGGCGACAAAGATGAGGACAATAGTCCGAATAATGTAAATAATGTACATAATACCTCATCTCAGAAATATAGACATACTTTATTATGTTCTATCTTTTTCTTCCTCTTATGCACAAATTGTAAAGTATGTTATTTTAGAGTCTAGTCTAGTGTTACCTTCATCGTGTTCTATTTGGGGAGTCGTTAAATTTCTCACATCTTTCTTCATCATGTGTCCAAATATTTTCAACTGTTTCTTTCTGATTGTTAATAAGCAGCTTTTTTGTGGTTCCTATTCTCCTAAGAACTAAAATTTGTCGATAGCAGTCCAGCATTCTTTTCTTCGTTTCTAATATTATTTTTCAATCCCTGAGTACCTTATTTAGTTACTGAAAAACATCTTTTGCTTTTTCTATGTGTCTTTGAATTTTATTTGTTGTAATTTCTATTATAGCGGTTGCTATGTTTTTCACACCCACATACACTCCAAGTCATTTTATTCGCCTGCGATTGGCTAATAAATTACTACTACCTTTGTATAGGACAATTTAGCCGTCGCAGTCGTTCCTTTGAATCTTTTGGTTCTGATACATCTGAGCATTAAGGGAAGCTATAATATATAGGACAGGCAAATCCGAGAAGCGCCGCATTAAAGACCTGTTCAACACTCTTCAACTGGACGACAGCAAGCCTACGCAACTATTGAAGAACCTTCTACGCAAAAAAACAATGTCGGAATCACTGCTCCGCAAGCTTTGGATGGACAAACTGCCCACCCACACCGCCAAAATCCTAGCGACCATTCCTGGGGATTTAGACTTAATGAAAATGGCTGATATTGTTGGGGATGTGCAGAATTAATTAATTGTAATTGAGTGAATCAGAAGGAATTTGTGTAGGTTGCGTGACTTTCTGCATCCACAAACAAATAAATAAACGAATTTTAAATACAATCAAAAACAAGACATATTCAATTTAGAAACCAACAAAACATTTATATACAATTAAAAGTAATATATATACAGGATATTTTGGTATATGTTACTATGGCAAAGTGTAATGATATTTGAGGTTTCGGTATGTCTCTTTTTGTATTTGTATGTTCAGTTACAGTCTTTCTGGAATTGTGTTAATTAACATTAAAAATGTCGATGTTAAGTGTTTTTAGGAATGAGTTCTTATAGAGTGGTCTACCTTTGACTGTAATATTTCTGAATCGTTCGAATGTTGATGTTTACTTAATAATGTAGTGAGTATAGTTCACTTTGGATAAGCAAAGTTGTTTTGGGTTTGCGATTTGATGTTCACAGAGTTGGTCGAGTTTAAATTGCAAGTGAGTCAGCGTTGATGTACTTTTGCGCGGTAAAGTCGTGATTTCGAGTGACGTGGAGTATGTTGGCAATTTCTCTGTGGATGTTCGTCTCTGACCCTTTTGGTCAATTGGTGTTTTCTTTTATATGTTTTTGAAAGTCCAAAATCGGCTCAAAGAAGTTTTGGCGCAATTTTGTTTTGCACGTGAAACTTTCAGATTATTGTGTCGTTAACCAATGAGATTTGTTGATTCGACTAGTACGGCTTTTTATTGGTCGAAGTTTTCCGTACGTAGGCGTAAGGTATAGACTGTCCTGTTACTAGGGGTGATAGGTAGAAAAGGACGAGTCTACAAGATAGCCGACAAAATCACTGAAACTAAAGCCCTCAATACCATGCACATCCCCGAACCACACAGCACCCCCGTCGACGACTTAATAAACAAGTTGCAACAGCAAATTAACAAGTTGTCAATTCAACTAGATCGTCTAAGCAGAGAGCGTTCGACACCAGCCCACAACTTATACAAGCCTCACCGACGTTCGAGATCTAAGTCACGAGTGAGGCCGACTACTATCTGTTGGTACCACCGCAATTTCGGGCAGGCAGCTAGACGCTGTACTAAGCCGTGTCAATTCAAGGCCCAGCCGGCATCCACATCTAAACAACAGGCGGGAAACGCCAGCCCCAACAGCGCATGAAGACGGTGTCTGCTGTTTGGGGAGACAGAATCAACCGTCTCTTTTATGTCCGGGACAATAATTCAGATGAGTTATTTTTAGTCGATACAGGCGCTCAAGTCAGTGTGATTCCGCCCAGACCAGGTTTTTCTATAAAAAAAATCTTCGTTCACCTTACGTGCAGGAAATGGCTCTAAAATTCAAACCTACGACCAGGTTCACTGACCTTAAGCATCGGATTAAAGAGGACATTTCAATGGTTTCTCACCGTGGCAGAGGTGAAATTCCCAATACTCGGCGCGGACTTCTTAGCACATTATAAGCTAGCGGTAGATATGTTAAATCACACACTCATCGCCCAAACAACGAAACTTACCCACTTAGGAATTACCTCCACTCTCACATCAACTCAGTAAAGCGTTGCTTTGCCGGAGAACAACCCCCTCCAACATGTACTAGATAAGTTTCCCACACTCATTCAACCTTTCACATACACCAAAACGGTGAAACATAATACCGTACACAAAATTCAAACATCCGGACGGCCAGTTTCTTCACCGCCACGCAGACTCAGGCCAGAGAAATATAAGTTAGCACGTGCTGAATTTCAGCATATGTTGGATCTGGGCATAATTCGCCTTTCATCATTTTGCATCTTCACTCCACATTGTCCCCAAGGCGCAAGTGGGGGCGTGGAGACCCTGTGGAGATTACAGACGTTTGAATGCACAGACAATTCCTGAAAAGTATCCTGTGCCCATCTTAGCTGATTTCGCCGTTTCATTACAGAGAGCTAAGATCTTCACTCAGATCGATTTAAGAAAAGCTTTCTATTAGATCCCAGTGGCCGCAGAAGACATCCATAAGATTGCAATCACAACTCCTTTTGGTCTGTATGAATTCCTTCGAATGCCTTTTGGGCTTCGAAACGCGGCACAATCGTTTCAACGTCTGATCGACGAAGCACTGCGTGGTTTGTCGCACTCGTTTGCCTACATCGATGATCTTGTTGGGGACGTGCAGAATTTATTAATTATGTTAGAAAGAATCAAAAGGAATTTGGGTAGGTTGCGTGACTTTCTGCATCCACAACAAATAAATAAACGAAATTTAAAATACGATTAAGAACGAGACATATTCAATTAGAAATTAATATAACATTTATATACAATTCAAAAACAATATACAAACAGGATAATTGATATATGTTATGTTGGCGAAATGTGTATGAGGTTTTTTGGTTTCAGAATGTCTCTCTTTGTAATTGTTCGTTCATTTACAGTCTTTTTAAGTTTGTGTTGATATTAATAATTGTCGATATTAAGTGTCTTTTTTAGAAGGAGTTTTTAAGAGTGATCTACCTTTAACTGTAATGTAATGTTTTTTTAAGGTCGTTCGTACGTTGATGTTTACTTAATAGGTAGCGAATATGATTCACTTTAGATAAGCAATGTTGAGAATTGATATCCACAGAGATGATTAAATTTTCGATCGGGAATGAGTCAGCGATGAGGTATCTTTGCGCGGGAGAAAATCCTGATTTCGAGTGACGTGGAGTATTTTGGCAAGTTCTCCGTGGGTGTTTGTTACTGACTGCCTGGGGCGGTCAGCGTTTATTTTTATAAGGCCTGAAAGTCCGAAGGTGGCTCACTTGAGTTTTGGCGCAATTTGGTTCTGCACGTGAACTTTCAGTGATGAACCAATGAGATTTCGCTTAGTGCAGTTTTAATTGGTTGAAGTTTTCCGTACGTAGACGTATGGAATTAACACATTAATTCCATCTATATTTTACGCGCGCGCGAGTTTCCTCCCTTCCTTTCACACTCGTGTGTGTGTGCGCGCGGTTTTCACCCCTTCCTTCCTCTCACAGCTAGACGTAGCAGTAACCTGGAGGAAGAACTTCGCTAGCTCCTACTGATGAAGTCAGACTAACAGATTTTGAATTTTTTCCCGCGCGTTTCGCGGCGTCTCAAACGGCCAGCGTTTGCAAGCCAGTTGCTTCCCGATCTTCAACCTGACTAGACGGGCAACTCATTTATTCCGTGCCCTTAACCCATATGCGGGCCGGAATATCTTATTTCAACAATGGCAACCTCACACTTTACCAAGACTTCTCGTCTTGATGCTACCCGCAGGTTAGACCTTCTCCGTTTTCGACCAGAAGACGTTCGAGACACACGACACAGTCGTGGGCAATACTTCGTATTCAACAGGTGACTTACATTTATCCCTCGTCAGTCAATAGTAAATACAGACAGGGATATCTTACTGACGAACAGATATTCTTCGTCCCTTCTGGACTCTCCATAATTAACTTCTCATAGACGATGCAACCAACCGCAACTAGCTCTTCGTCCTTTTG